CCTTTCGAATCTGCTCGTCTCGATGCTGAGCTGAAGGTGTGTCTCGCGATCTGATGAAGACGGAAATGTGTTGAAATTTTAATATTCTAGCTCGCCGGCGAGTACGGTCTCCGTAACAAGCGTGAAATCTGGCGCATCGGTCTCATCTTGTCCAAAATTCGTCGTGCAGCCCGTGAGCTGCTCAAGCTCGACCCTAAAGACCCTAAGAGACTTTTCGAGGGTAACGCTTTGATTCGTCGTCTGGTCCGAATTGGTGTGCTCGACGAGACTCGTATGCGTCTTGATTACGTGTTGGCTCTGAAAGTCGAGGACTTCTTAGAGAGACGTCTGCAGACACAAGTCTTCAAGAGCAGTCTTGCTAAATCTATTCATCACGCCCGTGTTCTCATCAGGCAACGTCACATCCGGTGCGTGTTTTTGTTCGAGATTAGTTGATCGATTTTGAAGCTTATATTTCTTCAGCGTCGGCAAACAAATTGTCAACGTTCCCTCCTTCGTTGTTCGTCTCGACTCCCAAAAACACATTGACTTTGCCCTCAATTCGCCATATGGTGGAGGCCGACCTGGACGTGTCAAGCGTAAGCGTGCCGCTGCTGCTGCCAAGAAAGAAGAAGGTGGTGACGAAGAGGAAGAGGAGTAGGTTTCTTGACTATTGCACAGTTGTATACACACTGTTTTTATGTTACCCGCTCTCAACTACGCTTATGATGCATGTCCATTTTCCTACTGATGAAATAATTTGTCATGAGGTTGTAGATTGACGACCTGTTTGCTTGAGCCTTGTGGTACTACTTTACAAGTAAATGTATTGTCTGTCCTGTCTCAATACATAAAGTCGACGCGATCAGTAGTTCAAGAAATCTAGATAACCCTGCAACGACATCATATCGCCACGCTTTGAATGTTGAGTCCTCGTCCAGCACGTTCTAAGTGGTCGTCCTTCAACATGTAAGCAGGATGATATTGTGGAGGTGAGGAAAATGTTGATGGATAATGATTGACCGACGACATAGACGTTCCATTGAGTGTTTCGCCAGGGTTTGTATGGATCGAGGAGATATACGTTGAAAGTACTTCTGTAGGAGAGAGTGCATCTGGCTGAGGAATTGCGTGTGTATTGGACATCACAGTAGTCAGTGCATTAGTTGGCGAAATTATCGAAGACGCAGAAGGAAGCGGCTGTGTGTCTGGATTTGTCGAAGGCATTACCAGTAAAGCGGGGTTCGGAAAAGTGTTGTAGGTGGATCCAAGAGACGTGTAGCTATTTTTGTGGGCGCGTCAATCTGTGAGCATAATTTCCAAAAAATGAAATGACTAGGTAAACACGCACCCTTCGTCATAAAGCTTACAGTATGGGACATTAAGTTGGCGTAGGAACGTCCATACATCAGCATAAGACCAGTTGATGATTGGATTAATACGGTCAAATCTTGGCCACCCTTCATCGGTAGGACACCTAGACGATATTCTATCTATGAAAAGAGCGTGTCAAAGAGGGTATTATAGCAAATAGCAGAGAGCGTATACCACCATGTGGATCGGTACGTCTAGTACCGATTAGAATGCCGTTGATATGTGGGAACTGGGCCTTGTACATCTCCAAAGCCTGTCGCATGCCTTCTCCACCCTTGGCCTTTCCAACTCCCCGAGGAGCTGGTAATGGGTGAATGTAATCCTGGCCCTGGGTAATTGACCCTGGAGCAGGTGTTACCACAGTTTCAATGGTGTCCTTCTGAGGTGGTCTGCAATAGAATAAGTCTAGGTTGTAGTCTTTCGCTGCGTCTTGAATAAAATCCTCCAACACAGGAAATGATGAGGGTACTGCAATATAAATGGCCGGTATTGGCAATGCAGACTGTGATGCTGAACGTCGTTTCCCTAGAGCACCAGCAAAGAGATGCAGTAGGACAGTGCCTACAGAGTAAGATTAGCGATTAGCGATTGGCATTTCATTTCCATTATCGTATCATACGTACAATCTTTACCTCCATTGAAGCTGATTGAGACTCGATCCTCCCTGAACAGGTCTATAGTCATATAAAAGCGCAAAATTTCACCTACTATCGCTACTTACCCGCAGGCATCGAGTCCTTCATCGATGACATCTAAAGCTTCCTTGACCAAAGGCGCAAGAGGATTATTAGACCCAGCGAAGTCATAGACCTGCTTTGCAACTTCTTGCATATGTAACATGGAGGGACACAAGAAGGAAGAGAAGAAAAAGCTGAGGAAGGGTGGAGTATGTAAGTATAACTCTAAAGGTCTGCTGAGCCTCGGGCACACGTGCCGAAGCTTTCTCACTTTCTGTCTGCCGTCCAAATACTATGTCTACAATCATTCTTGTCACTGGAGGAACAGGCCTCGTTGGCAAAGCTATAGAATATGTTATCGAAAACGAGCCAGCTGGATCTCGTTTCGGCAAACGACCCAACGAGAAATGGATCTTCGCAAGCTCTTCAGAGGCAGATTTGAGGTACTTGAAGCCTTGAACTAAAGGATAAAATTTTCATTCTCCATAGAGATCCCGTACAGACGCGTAAATTATACGAGAAATACCAACCTACTCATGTCATTCATTTGGCTGCACTCGGTGCGCAGTCCCTTTGTCTTCATGTTTATTATCAGATCAGGAATCAACCATGGTTCTTTTAGTTGGTGGCCTCTTCAAGAATATGAAATACAAAGTCTGGTCTTCCACTGCTAGAACATCACCATATCTGTGCTCATCGTACTTCCATCGCAGCTGACTTTCCTTCGCGAAAACATCCTCATCAATGACAACGTCCTCCATGCCTCTTACGAGCACAAGGCGCAGAAACTTATATCCTGTCTATCAACTTGCGTCTTCCCTGACAAAGTCGAATACCCACTGACCGAGCTTAACATCCATAATGGCCCTCCACATGAAAGTAACTTTGGTTATGCCCATGCTAAACGGATGGTGGATGTTCAGAACCAGTATGTTCTCATTCCTCTCTAGATCTGAGCACGATGCTGAATTACCTCAGTGCCTACAAGGAAGAGTTCGGCTGCAACTTCACTTCAGCAATCCCTACCAATGTTTTCGGGCCGCATGATAACTAGTACTGACTATTCTTCGAACCACCACCGAAGCGCTTACATCCAATGATTACAGTGATCTTGAAGACTCGCATGTCATTCCCGGGCTTATCCACAAATGCTACCTCGCAAAAAGTATGGGTCACCTTTTCCCCTCGACCATCCATCCATTCATTCTCTAATGCGAGTCCAACGATCTAGAAAACAATACTCCCTTCGTCGTATCAGGAACCGGCAAACCTCTTCGCCAGTTCATATACTCTCGGGATTTGGCTAAATTGTTCATCTGGCAACTGAGGGAATATGACGATGTCGAGCCCGTAATTCTTTCAGGCAAGTCTTCATTTTGCGCTAGAGTAAAATCTGTCCTCGTCCCTTATCTTGTATATTCAATGTAGTCGGCGAAGACGAGGAGGTAAGCATCAAGGAGGTGGCGGATGCCATCGTGAAAGCTGTCGGATTCCAGGGCTCGTATACCGTAAGTACCACCAGATTTTATTTGTTCTCGTTATACTTATCTCCTTACCTCTCTCTCAGTTCGATACCAGTCGCGCCGATGGTCAATATCGCAAACCTGCATCCAATAAGAAGCTGTTATCGCTCATCGGTGATTTCAAGTTTACGCCGTTCGAAGAGGGTATGATCATGCTTTCTCCATCTTCTTGAGTTTAGCCTTAATTTAATGTGTTTATTCCAGCGTTGAACGAATCAGTCAAGTGGTTCTTGGAAAATTATAACAATGCTAGAATTGGAAAAGTTCCATCTGCTTAAGGTTTATGAGAAGGATACATACCCTATATTTTATAAGTATGAGGATCAACTTGGAATGCTGGTTTTCTGTTTCATTAGTGGAGCCTGTTAGAACGTTTCTAGACTCATATCCTTGATCCACATTGCAATTTGGAGTTCAAGTTTTTAGGAGTGGAAGGATTCTAGATTGTGTTCTGAGGTTGACGTCGTTGGCCATATATCTTACAGATGATTATATCAAATGTTCTGAGTACAGAACAACAAAGCAAGAATCATTCTTGCTGTCTCATTGCTGTCCAGGCAGTGTGAGGAAGGAACTAAGGATACAGCTGTATTTATAAGTCTTCTGTCGACGGAGATACTGTATGATGTGTTGAGCATGCCAGTCAACTGAACTATCTTGATCAGGATGTGCGCGATATACACACCAATATTAGAAATCCGACACTCTTCCTTTAAAGCTCCAATCCCCTTCACCCTCTCCTCCCCATCGTCCGACTGGCTCAGTCTTCGGACCTCCCTGCTCACCAGTTATTGGATTGACGTGAACATCTCCTTCTTTTTCTACAGGAATTGGAGTTGGAGGAGCGGCAGATAATGCAGGATTTGGCAAGTTTTCGGATTGTTTTTGTAGTTCCTCGAATTCCAGTTGCAGCTCTCGAGGAAGCTGAGGGGGTGATGGGCGAGAGAAGGAGTTGTCGCTGATCAGCCTTGCATTCAACCTGAGGGAGCGACGGAGGAAGATTATAGGGCAGATTTGTTTAGTGATTGGTGCGAGCATTAGTTGCGTGACTTATGTAACTTACTTATAAGGTAGGCGTGACTCACAGAATATTTGGGCGCCTAAGAACCTGTTTGCAGCCCCTATTTCTGACTCAACTTGTGTCCTTCGGACAAGATTGATATGGGCTACTTCAGTTCCTCCTGTTCATGGTTTTGTGATCTGGAGTCCAAGCGAGGGCACGAGCAACAGCCTGAAAATACAGACATAATAAACAATGGTGACACCCAAGTTTGGGCCTAAAAGGTCCTTGAAGATCAAATTGGGGACGGGCATTTGTATGCACCATTAACACTCCTAGTGAAGCGCAATATGTTCTATAACGAGCAGTGTTTATGACTAGTGTACAGTATTCATGCATTAGCAAAATATATCCTTTGATAGCTATACCTGAATAAATACAGTATGCTCCAATGTGGTGTAGTGGTTAACATTGCTGTCTTTCACTCTTGACCAACAGACACAGCAGCCCGGGGTTCGATTCCCCGCATTGGAATAACCTTTCGAAGTTGATCACTTTCTTAATTTTAATGTTTTGCAGTGACGGCGGATACTTATTGTATCTGCTGTATTTTGAGGATCCGAATGATGTAGTACACTGGAGTATATCATGTAGACTCTTGATGCTCATCAGGTTACATCGACCATCGACACATCCCTTCCCATTCTATTACTTTGATCCTCCCTCCCCCATTCTGTTCCATATTCCTTCTCCTGGAGCCCTTCCTGTTGCTTCGATGCCCGCCACGTCTCTAATACTTCCATAAATTTACTATTGTTCAGTTCCACGGAGGCGACGATGGAAGGTGACCATTTTGGTGAAGTAGATAAAGTAGAAGTAGACGTAGGGGTGGTTGACGCGGAGGTAGGTGAGAGGCTTTTGCTGTATATCAGCATGTACGGCACCGGCTCTCCAGGTGAAGCCATGGAGAGAACAACTTCTTCGGATACCTGGGCGATAGAGACAACGCTCCGTCTCAAAACACGTTATCAATCAAGTCAAGCTCCCGTACCTCTTCAACATGACCTCCTGCAGCGGCGGACGCGGGGGATCTCCACCATCTTGTCTTTGTTTTTGATTTCTCATCCTTCACATCAGAATTCGCTATATCCATATCGTCCCGGATGTCCCGAACGTACACGAACGGTCCTTGCTCCGCCTTCAGAAATTTGGATCGTGCTCGTCCCGTACTAGGTTGTGGAGCCACGGTGTGAAGTTGGGAGAATGATGGCTGAGTTGATGTTGAATTTGGAGGCTGCATGAGGACTGCGCGGAGGTCGTACTATGGGTAGTCGATAATTAGGGAAATAGAGATAAAGGATAGTTCCGGCAGGTATGGATAACGTCAAGATTAAAGATATTCACCTGGAACCTCTTTAGCTTTTCATCTTCGAGCAACGCCTTCATTTCAGCCTTTGCAGTGACAATCTTAGTGTCAAGATCTGTTGTGCATAGGTAAAAGATAAGATTCAGAGCCATGGAAACGGAATCATAGAATTCCATTTCTTACCTTTCAGCGCCTTCTCCATTCCCTCCAATGTTGCTCTTAGGCTCTTCTCTGCGTCTTCTACTGTCTTTCTTCTTTCCTCTCCACCCACTTCCGTACCATCCTCGCCCTCGGAACGATTCGCGACATGTTCATAATAGTACAATGCAGCACGGAGGGAGGGAAGGACACCTTGACCTTGGGCGCTGTTGTCAAGTGACTGCAGAGCGGGTGCAGGAGCAGCCATAGGCGTTGATGATGACGAGGAAACAAGTTCCTAAATAAATGAACGCTTAGGTTGGAAAAATCACACAGAACACAACTCAAGACTGACTTGCCTTTCCTATCAATTTTTCTCTGACCTCCTCAAGCTCCCTAACTGATTTTGTCAGACTTTCCCTTACCTTATGCTTCTGACGAACAAGCGGAATGTTAGAGAGTAAGAAAGGATCGATATACAACGAAGAGGGATACGAGAACCGTGATGAAGAAGGCGTTGAGGACGAAACATTATGCAGAGGTACTGCGAACGATACCGGAGTAGACGATGATGATAGGGAGGAAAGGATATATGAAGTGGGAATGAACACGACAACCTCAGACGGAGTAGAAATGACAGTATGAGTTGATCCACTTGGTCTTCCTTGTCCTTGTGTATCAAGAACAGGCTTAGAGAGATCTTGAGCGAGACGCGTGAAAAGGTCGCTCCCAAGTAGTTCACCGGGTACAACACCGCTAGAGGAGGACAGATCCAATGAGACGTACGTGTGATTCGACGTCTGAGTGATTCTAGGACTTTGGCCAGGCTCGATATCTACTTGTGCAGACTTGAAGGTGAGCAATGGAATCTGCTCTTCTTGCTGCGAAGCCACAGCTGCTTCAAGAATCCAGCAAGCCTTTCATATAGATTCCTTGTAGAATCCATTATACCAGTAGTAGTTGTCACTGGTGGCACATCCAAGGCTTTAAAAACGCCATCGCAGTCAAGTCTAGCGAGATTTGCTAGATCAAGGTTTCCAAAGAGCTCGATGATACGAGCAATAACTGCTGGATCACTATTTTCTGACAGTGAAGATTCTTCGGGAATCTGCACATTCGCAAGCCGGTTGCGAACCTGTGGGACGTGAAATAGTGCTTGGAGAAGGAGTGCTGCGTAGATAGTGTTTGGTGTAGGAGAACGAAGGGATATTGGTCTGATAGTGTAGTAAGACCGTGGCGCAAGTCCTAAGAAGTGCTTCCAATGCAATCTTACCTTGCATCCTTTCGAAGAAGCTCTGCCAAGTCCTCTAGTTCTTCTTCTCCATTCTCCATTACTATTTCCTTGTCATTCGATACTATCTCCACAGATTCTTCAACTTCCATACTCAACTCTAAAGCTCGTATCAGGTCTTCATCATCATCTGCAAACATTCGGTCGTCGTTTGTTCGACCAACAAGATCTGGAATATCTTCCGGTGTATTCTGTCGCGCACTGGGTGTTTTGGGTGTTTTGATGATTGGTACCAATGTCATCGACATTGAACTATTTCCAGCGTCGTTTCCCCAGCTCGAGGCAGAAGATTCCAAGCCACCAGAAAGTAGCGCTTCAGCGGCCTTGTCTGCGTTTCCACCGTTCTTTCGATATACGTTGAGCACTAGGCCTGCTTGAGCTTCAGTTCCGCCAATCATAGCCAGCAAAGTGGAGACAGTTTCGCTTTCCTCTGGCGTTGGGTCGCCAATTGGTGAAGCCCATGCTGTCATTTTGGCTGAACAGAACCAGGAGAGTTATCAATCAGCGTCTAATTTATTCACCGGCCCAACCACGGATACTGTATGGACACTTTACCGATTGAGATCCTCACCGACGTGGTTGCTATTGTCCTTCAGGATACGACGCCCACAAATATTCTTTGTATATCTTCTCTGTTCAGGTCTATTGCTCAGAAGATTCTACACCAGGATCTGTGCTTCTATTCGTCTTCTCAGCTTTCACGGTTTGCAAACCTTCTCTCTGATGGAAGACTACCTCTGGCTTGTGAGCCGCAGTCACTCACGCTCGACATCGCAGGTGGCGCATCTTCTGGCATCTTCGAGGGATTACATGCTGTCTTCACTAACATTGTTTCTGATTCTCTATGCAAGAAGGACGAGAACGGACGATTGGTATTAGAAACATTGAAGCTTAGGTTAAACTCCCTTGCGCATGATGACCATCGACTGATCTATATATCTTTGTCCAACGCAAAGTAAGTCCACTTTCTGAAGGGATGCTTAATTCTGACTCTCAGAAATCATGTATGCGCTAGCGTAAGAAATTTCATCTGGACAGGGCCTGATCCTCCACACCATTTCTCCACCGCGGTAAGTTGTATTTCAGGGTTATTACCATATCAACTTAAGAGCCGTTACTCCAGATTGTATCTCTCGCTGTACTTCCTCTGTTCACGGCTCTGGCTACATACACTCGCCTCACGCACTTACATCTCACTAATATCGCATTCCCTAATCCAATCATTAACCCAAATCTTCGCTGGACAGGCATTCCGTGCCTCCCCTTCCTTCGCTTTCTTCATCTAGGGCAAGTGACGTTCCTCGATGCGGAGCATATCGCCGATTTCGTACTACGATGTACCGGTCACTTTCAAGCTTCGGACTTGAACTTGGAAGGTTCGAATCGTGCACTCGAGCACATACGTTTGGTGGACGTATATGAAGAGAGCATATGGGGCCCTAGATTGAAGCTGCCCCACATTCTAGCTGCTAGTGCTACACGTTTGGAGGAACCGGAATATTCGAATAAATTATTGGGCTGGACAGTATTGTCAGACTTGATTGAGAGGGTGGTATCTGTGGATGTAGAAACTGAGAGAATTATCGGCGGAGATCGAGCTATACCCGAAGTATCGTTAACACAGAATGCCATCGAGCGTTGGGTATCATAAAAGAATTAGTGTTATGTAGAGCCTTCTCAGGCTTGTAACATATATCATACAAATCAGAATATTCAAAGCAAAATCCAATGTGATCAAAGCGTCGAGTGCACCATGCAGAAATTCCAAAAGAAGAGAAAACCTAAGATCAATTCACATCCCACCCCACTGTTGTGATTGTCCATGTGGAGCGAACATTGGTGGCTGCTGCTGCTGCTGTCCCCACGATCCGTTTGTAGCAAACATCTGCGTCTGCTGCATCGGTTGACTGTTCATGCCCATACCAGCACCCATACCCATCCAAGCATCCGTGCCCATACCTCCCATACCCATACCAATTCCCGTTTGCGGTTGTGGAGAAGGTGACATAAACTGCTGCCCTTGCAATTGAGGGGTGGCCGACATTGGCGGCTGAGGCGTCATTGACATTTGTGGTTGAGGACTATGTCCTCCTCCATGTTGGAGTGAACCACTAAATTGAAACTGATTCTGCTGTTGTTGCTGCATCGGATTCAGATTCTGCGGTGATGGCGAGAACATTTGTGCTGGCGACTGCAACGACTGCATCTGCATTTGAGGAATCATCGGGGATGGTGATTGGTACGACTGTTGTGATTGTTGTGTCATGAAGGGCGTCGAAAGACCCGCGGGGAGGGCCCTGAAGGGCAACGAAGCTGACGGTGTGTAATTGGCAGACATAGGCTGCTGTTGCTGTGCGAAAGGATTTGGCGCAGAGAGAGGGGTCTGTTGGAATGGGTTCGTCGTCGATTGCATTCCAGCAGAAAATGGTGAATTAACGCCTAAACCTACACCCAGACCCATGGGAGGATGCCCTGGATTAATGGTAAGCCCATTAGGGCCTGCACCCATTCCTGTATTCGCACTAGCCAGATTGTATCCCATTCTATTCATACCGGACATTCCAGACATCCCGTTAGGCAAGGGAGTGTTCATAGTACCAGTCATCGCGCCGAAAGGGTTAGCAGATCCTAAGCTGGCGGAAGTAGGAGGTTGATACTGTAATGGAAGAGATGAGTTTGCAGACGGCGCCTGCAATGTAACGAGATCATTCCACACACTCGTCCCATTAGCTGAACCAG